CTACAAGAACTCAGGAAGGTTTTCCACTGGGAGGGAATGAAAAGGAGACTTGAAGGAAGTTATAACACTCCTCTATAATAGTCTGGCAGAAGACTGGAAGTTGCACCCAACTATTCCTTCCACAGAAGTTTAAACACTTGAAAGAGTGATCCACCTAGAAAGATTCTACTGGCCGTGTATGTCATGTAAGATAGAGCACTAGATCACCAAAGTGTGTCGGCCCGTGCCTCATCCATAAGAAACCAACCTTACACATAACAGCACTTCCTGTAAACATCACCACCTCCCAACCCTTTGACCTTTGAGCTGTCCATTGACTCTGTTCACTATTATAGCATTGCAAGGGAGATTTGAATTCATTCTTGTAATTATGGATCACTTCACCGGGTTAGGCCCAGCCTATGCGACCAGAAATAAAAGCCGAAAAATAGCAGCCGACATCCTCTTTAATGACTTAATCCTGAGGTTCAATAGTTTTGTGAAATTTGTCCTGTTATTATTTTCTTGCCAAGTTACGAATTGACTGATGTGATTGATCTTTGTAACAGTTTTAAAAACTTTCACACAGATTGTAGATGATATTTTGTCTCATTAAAATGCCATTTGTTTGTGGGAAGTCCCTTAAAAGTTCCTTGAAGTTTAAGAATATGTGGAAAAAATTTACAAAGTCTCATAACTAAGAATTTAGTAATTTCTCGAACTGAGACCAGGCATGTTTTAGTACTTTGTAGTGCTAGAGTAATAAGATGAATGTGTCACATGTGATGCCACACAAACTTTCCATTGTTCCCAGTGCCTGTGTAGAGGTACATGTACTGTACATGTAACTTGTAAGCTGAAGCATGGCTTGACCAAGTGAAGTTGGAGTAAACATTTATATTAGGCATACAGTGGAGAGTGAGCAGCTGCATAAAGAAGGAGCCAGCTGGCCAGTCTGTGGAATGTAACCCCATGGACTTGTCTAGAAGCTTTGGTGGGTAGGGGCAAAAGGTTATGAAGTTATGTTCCCCTTGAGGTACATGCAGTGAATGCAGTTGGCAACCAGTTCAGAAGGGGTGTTTTTCATGAAGTTTTGGTGTAATGGCCATACTGATATAATGCCTTGCTTCTGTTTTTCTTCTATTATTACTCCTTTGTATTTGTTCTGATGTTTGATTCTGGCAAAGTGATCAGACCCACTCAACATGATCTCTTTTCGCCCGTCTTTGCCCTACACAGAAAACATTAACAGACACATTAATGTTACATGTACTAGATGAAAGTTGTCAGGAGACAGGTCAGAAGACAGGAACAGACTGGTGTGGACCCCACAATCCCCTGACTAGAGGCACCACCGAAGCAGCAAACACCATGGGAGGTCATAGGAGAAAGCAAGTATGAAAGCATCTTTCATGTCATATGACATTTAGGGGTTAGACTGTTTTGTCAGTTAAACAGATGATCACAGTTCTTTGACATATATGTACATTAATATGAGAAAAATTGCAACGTCAATTCAAAAGACCTAACATGCTTTTGAGATTCAAATGAAAGTTTACTAACCTAACATGCTTTCGAGGTTCAAATAAAAATTCACAACCCTAACATGTTTTCAAGAAGCTGGTGGAATTTTAAGAGCCCTACATATTTTTGCGAATAGAATAAAGTTTTACAGATCTAGCATGTTCTGAAGCTTCGAATGCATTTTCCCTGACATCAAACAGCTGTAGGTTTTGATTTCAGCCTATGCTTTCCAACAAATCTCATTTCAGCCAAATTTAGAGAGTGACAATGTGTGGCTTGATGTAATCCAAACTTCTGAACCTCTTTTTTATGTTTCCACAGTGTTAAACAAGCATCTGCATGGTCAAATTCCAGCCTTTTAGTTTTATAATATTTCATTTGAAACTTGAAAACATGTTGGTCTGTAAAATTTCATTCGAGCTGAAAACAATGTTTTGTGCCTAAAGATGTCAGTTGGTTGTAAGAAATTTGGAAATTTCCCCCAAAGCTCTGTTCGATATAGTATTAGATATAAAATACATTTGATTTTTTTAAAAGGCTTCCTTTTCTCTAAAACATGTTCCAAATCTTTTATACTGTAACTCTGCTTCATATTTGCCTCTGTAAAAGAAGCCCAAGTGGATCTGGAAACGCACAGAAGATTTTCACAAAAGAGTTGTGTTCACGATGTAAGTGGTGTGGTCTAACAATCAAGACCAGTCCATGTTGCTGTGTGAGCAAGGGATTACTAGTGATCGTTAGCGAGCAGGGTAGTACGGTGGTTAATTGCTCCCCTTATTGATCATGATCACCTAGGATTAGGACATGGTGCGGTGGGTTACCATTCCCTCTTTGTATACTGTTGGCCTCCATCGTAGCATCGTAGTTGCCCATAGTGCGGGCAGTGTGATCTCATCGTCAAAGCTAGTCCACACTTCACTGGTGTGCCAGGCAGATGTGAACGGGGTTGCCACCCACAGTTGAGAGGCATGATCAGGTGAACCCACCATTCGTATGCTCCAGTGTGGGCTGCAACTCTAGGATCGTAAGCGGGATTGCCCCGAGATCCCTCCCTCCCCACTGGCAGTGTATTGTGCCTTATCATCTGCTTGTGCCGCACGCTTGCCGCCCATTCATGCTCCTGTCACAGTGCAGTGGAACCCATTGAGCTGATACTCAACGCTGAGAAACAAGACCAAGCAGGTACATTTTAGCACAGTGGACAGCATCCCTCAAGCTCCCCAATGTGACTACCCACAAGTTGGGTTGATCTGCTTAATAATCTGCAGGTAGGCCCACACAACACAATCCTGGCCTGCTTACCATGGCCTCGCCCAACAAAATTACCATACCAAACACAATGCCATGTACTGCCACCCTCCCAGCCCCAGCTTCTGGCATCTCCAGCACCTACCCACTCGGCCTTCATCCGCAGAAATCCACCCACCGTACTGAGCCACTGGACTGCTGTGCTGCCATTTTTGGCCTCTTCTAATTACACAGCACATTCAATCTGATACCTATGCCCTGATGAGTGACAATGACTCTGCCAGGGCTTCCAGTCATCATTCTCAACTGTAAGCCCGCACTTCAGACACCTGTTCAACAAATGCTACAGTCTGCTACAGACTACGAGTCTGCATCATCTGTCTGGGTCCAATTTGCCATCCTTGAAGGAAAAGTTTCAGGCACACATTTTACCTGTACATTTGACTGGCACAGACCCCCACTTGACAGTATACATGTACATGTACATGTGTCCTGCTGAGCATGTGCCGAAAGCCTTTGTCCAGTTATGGTACAGCAAGGTCAACTACCTCCGCTCGCCCACAGTTTTACCCAATAACAATTGTGTGTAGATGTCCCAGCAATCCAGAGACTAAGTGTTGTACACAACTCAGTGCCCCGAGAAATGCTCACCCCTTCCCTTTTCTTGTTGACCAAGTCCCTTGTAGCACACCCACGAGCAGCCTTTCACCATCCCGTTCCCATACTTCCTGGACTTTATAAAGGCTATCCAGAAACTAAGTCAGTGAGACCAAGTGTACACAAAATCCCCATAGAGATTTCTTTCATATACTTTCTACTTGAATGAATTATTCATAACCACCCGAATCCAGGCGTTCATAGGCTAAGACGTGGCCCTGAAAGTCTATATAGTGGGAGCAGCGCCGATGGTCAGCATTTGTCATTCCTGAGCTAGCAGCTCTCTGGGAACATCTCCCCATGGACTATTCTTGAGTGTATAGCTCTGGCATGAATTACTCATCAGTCATTCCCGAGTGAACTGCTCAGATATGGAAGTCTTATATGCTCTGATTGTTGTTTCCATATCCAAGATCATCTTACTAGTAACAGAAGTTGATTACTGTAAATTTGGATTATGTAAATGATTATTCAGAATAAACCAGTTGTGTGTATATGTCAATCCAATGACTCTACAGGTAGCTCTGTCATTATTGTTGACAACTGCCAGTTGTGTTGTGGTACCCTCTTGCGCCTTCTTGTTCTACTCCCTCAGACTCCGCTATCTTTTCCTGCTCGTGTATTGTTATTGCTTTAAGTCGTTGCCCTCGTTCCTTAAGTTCAATGTTTAGTGATTCATTGACTGGGAGTACCTTCATCTTACTAAGTGGTGTGGTGGCAGCATCAGAAACGTTTCTGTGCCTTGCTTTAGTTCATAATGGGACAGTTTTGTCACCCAAACCCCTTCAGGTTTGAATGCCATTTTCAGACTCCTGATCATGTGCATCTTTCAAATGCAGGTGAGCAGTTATCCAGCTTATGCCCCAGCTGTTTTAGACACTGACATTCTTCTTAGTTTTAATGAGAATAATTATATACCTGCCAGAATCACCATTTCTTCTGCAAATGCCCCCTCCCCTTACCAGAGCGAGACCACAAAAACATCATAAGAGCACGGCAAATTGCCAACATTTTTGATGAGTCTGATGATGAATCAACTGATCAGACTTGTGCCCTCGTTGATGAGTATCCTGGTGATTCCCCAGCCTCAGAGTCATCAACCACCCTGTGTACTCAGGTCGATAATCCCCGTATATTGACACGTTTCATGACCACCACACTGTCCATATCACCATAGACAGTGAAGCAACAGGCAATGTGATCCTTGAGGCCAAAGCAAAAAGATTGGAATCCATTTTACACGTAAGAGCTCACAGTCTGCCCATCAGGCCAGTGAGTCCTCCCTCTTATAAGTGGTTATTGGAGAAACCAACCTCAATCTGACATGTGATGGGAAGGAATTTCACTTTGAGGGTTTAGTGTTTGAAAACCTTGATGTGGAAATTCTCTCAGGTACCCCCTTTCATGGATACAAATGACATTGCAATCCGCCCAACAAAGCGTCAGGTCATCTTGGGCGATTAACATCACATACATGTATAGATCTACCAATGAATCCAAAGATTGGCACACAGTGTGCCGAGCTTACATCTTACGTGCACTTCCACGCACAACTGTGTGGCCAGGAGAATTCATCAAGCTCGACCTCCCGCCCACCAGCCCTAATGACACCAAGTTAGCATTAGAGCCATGCACTGACGCTTGCTCAAACACTACTGACATCCCCTGGCCCCCTCATTCCAAGTGTGGCAGAAAGAGTTCGCTTACCAAACTTCACAGATGAGCCCCAGGTCCTCAAATGCATGGACCAATTCTGTCATGTCCGCTTGGTGTTTCTGCCCTAGTCGGATGATCCTGACTCAACCAATCATGACTCATACATGCTGAATGCCTCACAGATCTCAGCAGAACCTCAACAATCTCAGCCCAATTCATTGGATCCCAACAATTTGCTAATTCCTGACGTGATTCTCATTTCATGCTGTACAAGAAGAGAACGACGAGGTATTCAACCCAAAGTTTCCAGGTTACAACGGTGCTGCCAGCCCCTTTGAAGCTGTTGTTAACATGGGCCCAGTCCAACCCCCACAATGCAAAGGCTGCCTGCCAAAATATGCTTCAGACAAGCTTCGTGAACTGCAATACAAATTTGACAAGCTTGAAACGCAGGGAGTCTTTGCTCCCACTGAAGATGTTGGAATCAACGATGGCTCTGTCAGAAAATACAGCATTGGTGTCACACTCTGCATCACTCACAATAACAAACCCTGCCTTGCTTGGTTTTATAGCGCCAAGTTCCGAGGTCGCAAGCCCACCTGGTTGTCCTGTGAAGTGGAAGAGCTCTCCATCTCAGCATCCGCCAAGCATTTCAGCCCCTTAATCATTCAATCCAAGCATCATGCTTGCATCCTCACTGACAGCAAACCATGCTTACAAGCCTGTGAGAAAATATGCCATGGTGAATTTTCAGCAAGCCCGCAGATTTCTACTTTCCTCTCCACAGTGAGCTGCTACCAAGCTATAGTCAGACACCTCGCCAGTTCGGCAAATGTCCCCTCTTACTTCGCCAGCTGTAATGCCCTTCCCTGCCATGACCTTACCTGCCAAATTTGTGCTCTTGTGAAACATGAGGAAGAGTCTCTGGTCTTCCACATATCAGCCGAGGATGTGATTTCTGGCAATGCCAAACTCCCTTTCACTAGTAGAAGAGCTTGGGTGGAGTTCCAGTCTGAGTGCCTCGACCTCAGATGCACCTGTGCCCATCTCATCCAGGGCACTCGCTCATCTAATAAACTAACTAACATCAAGGATGTCAAATGCTTCCTCCACGTTGTCTCTGTCACCAAAGATGGCTTATTAATAGTGAGCTGTGATCAACCCCTGTCTCCATCACATGAATGCATTGTTGTTCATCGCCAAGTACTCAGTGGGTTCCGTGTGAAGTGCCACATTCCATCCTGGAACTTAGGGGACATACTATGCGGAACCACCTTGGATCCCCATAGTGTATGCTTTATTCCCGCTGTAGGGTTACTCACCTAGAATCAAACTCCATCTTTCCAACCTCCAGGATCTTCGTTCCTTCTATCCAATCACACTTAGCCTCTTCTTCTGACAGACTTTGGTGCCCAGTGTGAACCCTTAAATGGTACCTTGAGAGAACTAAAGACATCAGAGGCTCCATTTCTCAACTGCAGGTGACCACTACCCATCTCTACCATCCATCTATCAGACACTGTTGCCAGGTGGGTTGTTTCAGCTATTAAACTTGCTAACACATTAAACTGGCCTACCACCCCAGAGGAGATTAAATCTTGGGCATACATTAAAGGTGTTTCCATATCAGACTTTTTCAAAGTTGCTCATTGGAAATAACCATCCAACAGCTGTTACCATAAATCAGACAACAACTGGTGCTGAGTCTGATGCGATAACTCCATTTTTTTTATCGTACATTACTGAGACTTCACCGCATTCTACCCTTACTGTTCTTAATTGTCATCTATTGTTGTGCATCCTCTCCAAACCCTATACCTCCTGTTTGCATCGGAAGTATCCACTTAACGAAACACTGACAAAATAATTTTCTGGAAAACAAACTTTTATGACGAAAAATATATACCCAATCCCCAAATACATTTATATTGTAAATGCAAATATTCTGAAATAATTATTTTACTTACATTCATAATTATACAAACAGATTTTTACGTTCATAATTATACAAACAGATTTTTGGCGGAAAGCAAGACTGTAATTTCATAAGGGTCCCGCTACCGTGCTTGTTTTCTAACTCAGATCTTCCTAGTGGATGCAGTGCCGTGCTGTGCAAAATCCAGGCTGCAGCTCTTAAGAACTGCCTATTGTGCCCAACATTAGTACTGCTGTTATGTAAATTGGGCACTCCACTCCTAATCCACAGGGCCCGCCACAACCCACCGAGAAGATTTAAGGTGGTCCTGGCCTGGAGAGTAGAGAGGGTTTACAACAAAAGTAAGGATCCCTTATAACCACAAGCCACTCAACATTGACCCCCCTCAGACAGCTTCATATATATGGCTACATACACCCGAACCATGGGCACACCAGGCCCAAATCTACATGTAGATGAAAAGCCCAGAGAAAGCATATGGGCAAAGCACACATGAATAAATTCTCCACCGATGTAGAACATTCGGTTGGATGATAATAAATTTACATAGACACATAAAACGTACGGGTTTTCCACTGATATTGCACATTCAGTCGGAATACGTTTCACCCCAAGAGTGCAAGTGCGATATAAACTGCATTTAAAACCCATTTTACTTGGACTCAAGCACTCCCACTGATGTTGCACACTCAGGAGTAAATGGACTGAATTATTTTACAAATTACATATCAAACGCTTAACCAGAAAACATATAAATACAATTAAATAAAGCATACGAATGGGTTGCTGGCTGTCTATGTCCGCAAAAATTGCCACATGCGCAACTCACGCCCCACAGGAGTAAGACTGCCAGAACCCGTCCTGGACGGGACCCGCACTACCCCACAAACTGTGACAAAATGCACTGGTGCAGGTGTTCTGTGAACTCTCGGTTACCAGACAGGGCTCAAATGCACCCCATCACGTAAATAAAGGGAATACTCCTACCAAAAGAACTGAGGGTGGCGAAGGCAAAATGCCATTGGCAATTTTGCACAATCCGCCCTGGCCCACCTGTTGATGGTGTGGCGCTTGCGTACCATAGCTGGCTGTGAGTGAGCACCATGGTAAAAAACATGAGGCAGTATATTTGACCAAACAAGAGTTGCATGGGGGAACATGGCCGCCCAGTCGCTCAGCATGATGGCCACCCTCATCCGAAGAGCATGTTCATTAACTCGGACTAAGTCACTAGTGCCAATATGTAAAAGTATCAAAAAAGGCGGGGGGGGTTAGTTTGACTCATATCAGCCAGGAGAGAGCAGATGTCCCCCATGCCAGCCCCACCTTTCCCTTTCCTCAGTACTTTTAGAGACTTGAAAGGAGCGCTCTGCCCTTCTAACACTGGAGTCACCAACTATCCACACCTCATCTAATGCAAGGTCATAAAGAAAAAGAAAACGTAAAGAAGATGTGAGGTAGTAAACACGGTAAGGCGCC